TGCGCACTGGCGACGTCAGCGTCGCTATCAGCAGAGCCTTGCATCGGACGCCGTACCCTCGGGTCCCACTCAAGTCTGTCGAAACCTCTTGTAGATGGAGGAGGCTTTGGCGATCGAGGTCCGCTTCTTGATAATAATTGAGGATCATCAATCCCGGTCAAGCTCAGAGGCCTCTCCCTCCAATATGAGCCTCGATCATAACGAAGTCGCGCGGCAGAGTCTTTCTCAAACTGCTCACGGGGATTGGTATAGGAATAAGCATCATAATCGTCAATGTCCTCCCCCTTGCGAAGGCCTCCCGTAAGCGGGTATCGCGAGCGTCTACTGGGATCGTGCTCCTTGTAACCACTGTGAACTATTGGCGACATAATCACCCTATCATTCGGATCTAGCCTTCCTGTATCACTAGCATAATCGATATGAGAGACGGAAAGAGGGTGGCGCCGGTGGCTCCGGGGCGAAGAGGAATGCACCGGATGATGGTCATGGCTTGGAAGAGGGCTAGGAGAACGGCGGTAGTTGGTTGTTATGACAGGAGGGGCTCTGGGGCCATGAAGCCGACCAGGAGCCAAATGGGTGTCTGCCGCGGAGGTAGTATTACTCCGTTGTCTTGGACGAACTTCATACTCGGTTCGCAATTTGGTTGAATGACCAGCGTCTCGATAGGTTTTTGAAGAAACCCGCTGGGCTTCTAATCCTCCTTCCCGAAAATACCGGGGGTCGTACGCAGTCACCACATAAGGCCCGCTGGACGGATAGCCCGAGTATGCGGATCGACTAGCGGAGGAGGGATCGTAAGAGGAGCTGAGCTGCACCGTTCCGGTGGAGGCTCGCATGGGATCAATCATACGTGAGCCGCTTGGAGACATGGGCCGATGATGTGTAGTAGGGCCTATTTCAATCCCTCGCACACAATGGGGCGATGTACAAACTCCGATCGTGGTAATGCGGAGGTGGGCAACGTTTGATTCAAAGAAGACAAAGCACTGAGATAAGATTTGTCAATAAGACGTGCGAAGATTAAAAAGACAGGCAAATCAGAGGTAGAGGAAACAAGGAGTTTACATGAAATGGACAGAATGGGGAAGAATCCTGCAGTTTGAATGAAATCGAATCCTTTGGGCACCAGGCCAGGAAAGTCGTCGAAGAACTAAAGAAAGTTAAGGCTGAGGGGCAAAAAAAGAAAAGGAGCTAGTTTCGGATGCCTGATCCTGCAGGCTACGAGTGAGACAGCACGACCGGCAAGACAGCGATATTTATAGAAGACAGAAAATTGATAGTGGATCACAGAGACTTTGTCGAAGAGAAGCAAAGAGTAAGATAATAAATGATAAATCACAACGAGGAGATTTAAAAATCAGAAAGGTGATTGACGGTAAAGAATAAAAAAATAGCAATAATGTCTTTGAAGTTTGGGGAGTCTTGAGTGGGCTGTGACGAAAGAGGGTCCTCGACGTACCGCACTAACAACGGTCAGAAACCATCTAATGATGGCATGGATCACCATAAAAGTGGAACACCCACCAGCTTATCTAATTCGTATAGTACGGTTGCCTCCTGTAAGTGCTGCGCATTCGCCCCAGTAGGGCTCCCTTAATAAGAATGGTCTGATTCGCTCAATGTTTGAAGTGAGAAGAGAAGTATTCACCGATGTTTGTCGACGAGTTCCCGCTATGCCATAGTGGGTGGGATCTATGTACTCAGTGGGTGTAGTTATAGTGGTGACAATAAAGTACTAGGAAACCATGGATGTCAGTGACATCTCCCGTTCCCTTTCCCTTGGGTGCGTTTTGCATGTTGGCACCAACCATGGTCACGCCCCCGCCGGAAGAGTGTCTTTCCAGTTCCGCAACTCAATCGCTTGACTTCGTCCAATCGTTCCGATCAATACCACCAAACATCGTGAAGAGCCTCAGGGCATGACTTGGACAAGACTGTATCACAAGGCCTCACTTTTATCCAGTTGTTCGCATACCAGTCTCGGCACGGTGATACTGATACCGATGCCGGATCAAGCGGACTTCAACCTTCAGTCCTTTGTCTCCACTGCCCTCCCGCTTTTAACCGTGGTGATACCACTAACACTAGTGGCTCCTAACGAATGAGATATCGTTGAAAGTCGACGGAGCAGGCTTCACATCCTCCGTCAGCGTCATCCAAAACTTTGACTTTTGATTCGGGGGGAAAGAGTCCCCGCTGCCCAAGTGTCGGCGGGCGAATCACCCGCCCTCCCGTATCCACCTTTTCCACCTGCTGGTTGCCAAGCGATGCGTCGGCTGAACATTTTGTTAGCGCACAGAAAAGATGCACTGCATCCATGACATCATCCATTGGAATGTACTGCCACTTGGGATCTCAATGTGGGTTCAGGCATACTGTACTCCGGAGTAAGATTAAGGAACCCAGGAGTGGAGTCCGCGAACTTCTAGAAGAATACTCTCCCGGCTTCTGTATGCATGTATGTACTTGTACCTTTGAGTGTAGACAATCATCCGTGCAATCATCCAAAACACAATGCTAATTAATAATATTAGAACTGCGCAGCCATGACGAAGAAGTAAGTCTATGCGCAAATTGTTATGTTGATTCTCCGGTGATTGACTCCCAAGGCTGAGCTCAGCACGGGCAACCGGGCACTTCCCGTCTCGGTTCCAGGACGCCCGAATAGTAGTGGAGCATGAACGACTCTCCCTTACTTGACCGTGATGATTTCTGGAACAATATTGGGCATCGACCGCCTTGAAACAGCCTTTGCTCTCCATTACCCACACGTTCGCTTCACTTTTTCGCACTTCTGGCTTCCGCTTCACCGGCCGAGTAAAGAGAATGCGCGGTTTCTTTTTATCTTCGCCCATCGCCATGGTAGACTTTCCTCCTCATAACCGAGGTGTGTAAATTATTAGGGTGATCGGGTTCTACCTACGACCAGGTTACGTTCTAGCGTGAACCCACGACACACTTGACACACGGGATAGCAGCATCATGAAACACTCTATTTGGATAAAAAGCCTGAAGCCATTGTTAGATGATCTGTTTGTCACATGCTGTCAAGGGGTAATTCGGGCTCTTGCATATGCAACAATATTACCCAAATGCCTTGGGATTCCCAGTTGAAGTTTCACACCAACGAGTCACAATGCTATTGTCTAATCATCGACATTGCGCATTCGAGCTTTTTCACTGATGCACCGCCGCCCTTATGGCGGCAAATGCTTGATGAGTGAGTGAAGCTTTACAATCAAACCTTGCTTTGAGGACGCAAGCTCAAGTATCCAATGATGTGCAGCATCTTTATACTGACACTGCACAATCAGCTACTGCCCTACTCAGCCACAGATGTGCCTTAGGGTTAGCCCAGCTCGGGGCCAACATGCTCAGGGCTAATGATGACGTACTTACCATGTGTCATACATCGCCAGGGTGCGTTTCGTTGCCCCTGGTCTAGCAGATGCTTCATCGCGGATGGCAGTGAACTTTCAAGACCCGAATCCTCATTCGAACTCGCATTCTCATCGAGTCATGCGTACTCAGGCGCAGACTTAGCCACACGGCACGAGCCCAGGACGCTAGGTGTTGATTGTTCTCTTTAGCTATCTTGCACTGAGAATAGGCGGACTCAACAAAGGTGTTGTGGTAAGGGCAAACTAGCAGAAGGATTCAGACTTGTGCCCTGCAAAGCCCGTTGTGAAGGGTCTAAAGGGCAACGAACGATGATTCACCTTCTTTTATCCTAAGATGGCCTATAAAGTCGGTTCGAAACGACTGGAAATCTTTTCCTTAGTTTACCCCCAACCATCAGAAACCATCCTATATCAGATCAAAAACCTACATATTCATATAAATAGTATTTGACTCAAAGCATCTCTGCAAGATAAGCATAATCTCCTCTCAATCGGTACTCAGCCCCTTCTATAGGATCTTCCCCATATGTAACTAATACGCCTTAGAACTCTAAGCCAAACCATCAACAAGTACTTCAGCCATCATCGACAGCCACCCGTACTCCTACATCAACTATGACACGGCACACATCATTAGCTCCCCAAAGTACCAATGACACCTCCAGACCCAGCATGGCTGGGTGGTGGATATGCTGCTCATGTCGCTCCGAGAATAATCCCGGTTTGAGCCAAGGCCGGTGCACCGTTTGCAACCACAAATCGTGTTGCGACTGCACTCCTGCGTGATAAAGCCTCTGCACTGGATGACTTCGATCATTGTATATTATGATACCTCTTTTTGTTCTTCATGTTGATGGTCAATGTTGGATTGTTTTTCCTTTTTCTCTTTTTCTTCTCTGTTGCTTTCTTTCTTTCAATTTTTCTACTCTCCACCCTAGGGAGATTTTCGGGCTCAACCTCTGTACAATATATATGTGCTACGATGTATGATTTCGAAATGTATTATAAGCAGGCTGATGACGCAAATATGACCAATTTCCTATCGGACTTTCATAGAATTTCTCCCCTATTCAAATTAGAACTCTATACTTAGAGTTCAAAGCCAATATTGAGCAACACAAATTGAAAGAAATACTCAGAACATCCTGACGTAGTCGGTCATTGACCACGTGAGCAACCGGCAGGGATGTTTAACTTTCTTTGCACTGCTTTCCAATCTATACATGCCGAGATTATAGATCACCCGATTACTCGGGATCGCAGTTGGGCACCGATTGGAGGGTACAGAACTTTGTATGTTTGCGTTCATCTGTGCTTTCTTTGGATATGTCGTTATCATTCTTTAGTTCTCCAGGGGTGTTATATATCTGTACTGACGTGGTACAACGTTAAGACAGTTCAAGAGCAACTCCTAATTGAATCAATCCGGGCTGGCTTAACGCTTCACGAATGTTGTAACACGGACTCGTTCATGCGTCTCAAAGAAACAGACAAAAGACATATATATATATATATATATATATAAGGAAACAAAGATATTCTGGACCTAGCCAGGGAGCTTGATCTTACTGTCAAAGTACTGACTTATTGAAAGTAAGAGGCCCGAACCCGGGATCGACGGGGACCTCGCGCAGTCCATGGGTTGGTAAACCCTAACGCGCGAATCATACCACTAGACCATCCGGGCAAATGAGGTTTACTTGCCTGGATTATTTGTTACATGAATTAAATCAATAATATCCGAGTATCTCATAGTAGGATAAACAAGATTGGGGAGCAAGTCGAGACATGATACAAGCGTCTGTTGTTACAGTGATCTCCATTATCTCTTTTTGCCAACTGACTAGAATAACAAACTGCATAGCAATACACATGCCTCGGATGAGAAATGGAGTACATAGATGTTATGTTTTCCATCACTCTTAGCCCTCAGTTTTCAACTAAAGTGAAAGGCGACCTGGTTGAGATCTAAGTACCGGGGATCTAGAGCACCTTTTTAGAGCAAGCTTAGAATGAAGGCCGTTTTTTGCTCTTATTAATATGTATGTATGTATGTATGTATGTATGTAATAGCTTCGTGTGTCCAAGTGCTCCGTTACCAATGGTTCCAAGAAAACGAAAAAAAGAAGAAAAGAATAAAAGTAAAAAAGAAAAATCGTCTAAGGCTTGAACGAGGATGCAGCATTTTCCAGAATGACCAAACTCCCGCATAATGATGATGATATTGATGATGGGTATATACCGCTGCAATGTTTCCAGTATTATTAGCCAAAATTGTATCTCAACTGTGTTGCTCAGCTCTGCTTCGTCTCCGTTTACGCTTCGACGACCTATCTCTAGGCTCGCCATGTGCAGTGACGGGATGTTTAAGGCCAGCCTCAGCTTTCAGTCTCTGGACCACGGGCCCGAGCGCGAAAGCGCTTTCTAGACTACTATGATCCGCACATGGGCTTTGCTTGAGGGGAAGCAACCAGTCAAGTATAGAGTAACCCAAAACTTGTTGGAGGTTTTTGAAAGAAGTACCCAAATCAAAAGGGTTTTCGCCTGGGAGTGTCTGAAGAATTGCAAACACATGCTGTTCCCCTGTGGGTGGGTGTTGATGTTCTGCTGTAGCCTCATTATTTAGAGGCATCGGCGGTAAAGGATAAGTTATTGTACGAAATGTCGGTGCCCATCGGGACTCGGGGTCGAGCTTGGAAAGCATATGTTTGGGTACACGTATAGCCAATGTCCAGACTGCTGACCGACGATTCAAATTCTCGATCGTTGTCAAATTATACATCGCAAGTTGTACAGAGCTAAGCGTCATTCCAAGTGTGAAGATTCCAAAAAGGCAACTCCTGTGAACCATTAGATCGTTATTCAACAAGTCGACCGTAATCGCAGCTGTATTCACTCACAATCCGATACCAACAGCCCAATGAGGATTGACCTCGCCCGTCTTAGAAGGTTAGTCGACCCTGTACACCGGTTTTACCGAGAAGGTGCGGTCTTACCTCTCGTCGGAGTTCCGCGGTGAAGATCGCACAAACAATAAGAGTGAATGTGCAAAAGACGAATGTGTAAAACACAAACTGAATGAAAAATTTAAATGAGGTTTCCGAGACCACACCCCCTACCCTTGTGATAGTGAGTAACGCCATGCCTTTCCAAGAGAGGAGCATAACCTACCAAGGACAGAAGTGGTCCATCTTACGAACACACCGGTCTACTTCCCGGCAATGGTGTGCTCTGTCTGTCTTGTACTGACAACAAGTGGAACAATATATGGGCCTTCCATCTGGCTGGCAGATAAAGACGTCTTTCGTATAAAAGTTTTCTAGCCCTTCTGCATTCAGAGGGAACGCCTTTCCTCCAGCGTGGTGATCGACGCCCCTTTCGAGGTCTACCTCATCCGATGTGTCTGACTTCTCAACTGTTCCCGGCTTTCGATGGCTTTTCCTCCTTCGTTTACTGTTTCGACGATGAGCGTTCGGTGCTTCGGCATCCTGTTGATCAGGAAGATATGAAGAGTTTCGCGGTAGGAAGCCGGGGTTCCAAATGACATTGTACAGTAGCCGAAGATATGTAATAACCATCGGTGTGAGTAAAACGTAATATACAACAATTATGGCGATTCCAGCGCCAAGTCTAGAACTGCGATTATACTTCGGTAGAGGGGTAATTAGGTAGTCGACTGTATTCGAAGAGGCTATTAGCATCACCGTTGATTTCCAAATAGGGGGAACTGACTGCATAGTGGTTTTGTAATAGCGTAGGAGGCATAAATGACAGTACAGAGTAGCACTAGAGGTATGATCCTAGCTACCGCTAAACTGACGCGCCTGTCTGGACGCGCCATCGGAAATTAATGGTAAAAGGGCTGGAATTGTCTCTGCATTGAGGAGTGGTAGGACGAAAGAGTATCGGATTGAATTTGTACTGTATCTATACAAAAATGGGGAGACAAGTATGTACAGCCGCCACAGGAGGCACTATCGGTCGGGAAGATGAAAGCCTCGGGCTAAGTGTAGAAATATGGCCGACAGGGGGGACGAAAGTGACGTTGTTGCTGTCCATCATCAGGAACATGACAACCAGCGGTTGCAAACTCATCAAACTCTATACATGACGTCGTCATGTGCTGTCACATGATGACAAGCGATTTTTAGTTTTATCTTCCAATCTACGGAGTACGATCTAATCAAGATCTCGACCTGTCGCTACAATGCATAATGAAAAATTATTTTTCCAATGACCGTCCGTACGCAGCCGACACAGAGAATACTGGTTCAGGCACCTAGCGACATCATTAGTATTACGCCAATTCCTTGGTAACGTTGTCCATTGGCCAGCGTCGAGAATCCTGCGGTGCGATAATATATGTGTTGCTGTCGTTCTCTCATAAACGCTGGCCATCTCAGATAGGATAACGATCCGCATACCTACCATCCAAGCATCGTTTAGCTTTTTCTTTGCAAAATCATTAAATCGCGCACTTTGTCGAGGTATACCTCTAGAAGGCTTCAAAGTTTCTGCCTATGAGTTTGTAGCAATGCAAAAGACGCTATTCAAGATGCGAACGTCATCTGCACGGAATACGTCAGTACGGGGACACGAAGCGCACCGTTTGGCCGAGATCTCAAAAGCTGCTTCTTGTTGAACGTGGTGCTGTATAGCAGTTGGAGCGGCTGTAGCCTGGGAGAGCAACCGTATATTTAGCTTCTCGTGCAATGATCCACAGTGGAAGTGAGTAATTATAAGCTTCCCACATGATGCGATTTCGAAGCAGATCCAAAATAGCACTGCCCTTCTAGGTAGGTATCAACGTGCAGTAATATCAGGATTGGTGATCAGTATTTTTTTTTTTTTTTCGTTTGATCAGTGGTAGTAGTCGCAATATTGCAGTTGGCAAGATAGAGGAAAGGTGGGGTAGGTAATTAAGGAGACAGGGACAAGAAAAGAGGAGAAAAGAAAAGAACAAAAGAAAGGAACAGAAGCGGAGGGAAGGTGGGAGGAAGAAGAGCTCGCAAGATGGAGAAAGCAAAAAGATGAAGAGTCATTTTCCATAGAGTAATGAATCAATTTGGTTATTCTGTCATTCTTCGTGTTGGGCGTCATACAGAATCCGCACGTGGATTGCCTTAAGGACTATAGCAGGCAGCAAACAGGGATGCCTGGCTTAGTCGGAAACTGGAGTACAACTGTTTGACCGACAGAAACACTAGCGATTCCGCTGGTGGACACCCAGAATGGGTAAAAAGTGACGGTAAGAGCCAGAAGGCTTAAGACTACCGAAGAACATCAGTGCTGAGCTGGGCTGCGAGAGAGACCTGAGGCTCCGGTAGGTCGTTGCCTGAATGGCAGGTACCTTGCCTAGTCCCCATAGTTAAAAGTGGATCCAAAGATTCCAAACACTTTGCCCATTCAAGCATCTCATCCAGGCTATGCATAGTCCGCATCCACTTTAGAAGCCAAGAGGGGGTAATTAACAGGAAGAAATGAAAAAGCACCCTAGCAATAAAAAATAATTAAATAAATCAAACCGACGAAAACTGGACAGTTACTGGAGGAATGGCGGGTATGAACGGGCAAAATCAAGTGCCCAAGCCTTGCCGGTATTCCGCCTTTTGGAAGAACAACCAGCGAACCCCGTGGACAGATTGAGTCAACTTGCTGCAGGATGGCAGTTGATTCTTCTTCTCAGGCCTCCAGTCTACCGGAGCTATGATTCAGAATGCTGCTGAATGTCACTTGAAGGGATCTAGACACATAACGGCCCGGACCCTCAGGCCAAAGTAATAGCCTGCCAAGCCACGTTCGATCTACTTGCTAAACGGCCCCTTCTTTTTGCAGAAGATTACCCTTACCTGATGACTGAGGTAATATGGTTTTAGCCCCGATTGGGGCAGAGCTGTGGCCTGGGGCTTGCCTGATATGTCGAAGCCACACTATTCAGGGCGAAGACTGCCTTGTCATTGTCAGAGTGATTCATCATTCTTGTCTCTACCTCTATTTAAACGCATCCTCACTCTCCTTTTGAATCTTCATCAACAACAAACACGTTGACTTCTACTCAACACTGCATACATTCTTTGCTTCAGTCTATATCTATTGAGCCTTATCCTTCACTGTGTCTAGTTACCAGACCTCTCTCCAACACACATCCGTACTCTACAGCATCCACATCCTCGCAACTGCAATCCTACCGACTATTCCAGACGGAACATCTGCAAACAACATAATGCCTTGCTACCACGAGATGTCGCCATTCTCTCAAGTCCCTGGTCGCAAGGAGCGAAGGGACTCAGTCAGCTCTCTGGCATCAGTCTCATCTACTATGGAGGACGATTCCTTGGTTCATCGGCCATCCATGTCCTACGTGAATGTGCCTGACAGCTCTCTCCACGGCCTCTCCGGCCATGTCAGAACCAATGGGTACCTTTATATCTGCTGCAATTGCCAGGATGGGCCCAAGCTATACAACATTCAACCTCGATGTGTTATGTGCCAACACGTTGTCTGCTCGGATTGTCAGCATGTGAAGTAATGATCTGGAACATTTCGATCGCTTGAGGTAAGAGTTTCCGGAGTAGCCGCTAGTGTGGAATTCTAAAGCTGACATGTTTCGGTATAGTGTTCAACTTACTATACTTTTAAAGTCGAGACGGGATCTTACGACAGCAACGAGTTTTTGATTGGTATCTG